GTTCAAGTTCAGTTCAATTTTGAACTGAACTTGAATTTGGCCAAAAGTTCAGTTCAGTTCAGTTCATAGGAATACTATATATATGCATGTACTATATATGAAAATTAAAAGTAACACAAATTGATCAACAGAGGATTTAATATGTTACAAAATTAAAGTTGGAATATTGTGAATAAAAATAATATTTTTAAAAGTATTTGGGTTATTGCATAATATTATAAGTATTTGGGCCAAATGTTTTAAATTGATATCGATATTCAATCAATTTTAATAATTAAGTTAAAAATAGAATTTTAAAAACTTTAAACAAGAATTGTAGTAAATTGTTATATAATATTATATAACCAGACTTGCATTAACGGTAGAGTATTTACTCAAGAATATGGTCCAACAAATTATTAAAGTTTAATCAAAAGTTCCCAAATACTCATAACATTATGCAGTGACCTATTTATTAAACAATTATAGAACATTTGTATATAAAGAAGTAGACAGCATTATTTATATAGAAAAAAAAAATTTTATTATGAAAGAGAGTAATCATTTTTTATTTTTTTGCAGGTAGAAGTAGTTTTAGATACTTTCTATTAGTATCAGATTGTTCGCCTTGAAGAATAGGAGTATTGAAATATGTAGGTTCAGCGGGTATATTATTGTTAACAGAAGAAGTGTTTGTTTTGTTTACAAAAGATGTAGTAGGAGTGAGAGTTTCATTCATATTTTGTGAATTAGTTTTATTGATAACTTGTGGAGTAGACTTTGCGTGAGAAGGTTTAGCAAAAGAAGTTTCTTTTTAAATTTGGGAGATGATTTCAACAAAATTCGGGGATGTAGTTTTGTTATTTGGAGGTTTAAATAAAGAATTTTGTAAATTAGTTTTTTGTCTTTTTTAAGAAAATTGAGATGTCAATGCAGTATATTTTTCTTTGATGCTATCAAGTTGTATATTAAGTTCTTCTTGCGAAGATGTTCTACTAGACAAAGCATTTGAAGTTTGAGGGTTATTAGTCAGATAGGTCCATTCAATATTAAAAGCAAGAATATGTGGAAGTCTTTTTGATCCAAGTTTCAACCGTCCTACAACAGATAAGATTATTCTTTTTAGATTATTTTTTAAGGCATTATAATAAAAGAACTGCTCAAATATTGACTGCAATATTTATTTCAATTAATTCTAATAAATAAGTACCATTACAATCATATCGAAGATGATGCTTGAGAAAATTTCAATTACGTCATAAATTGCATCAAGCTCTTCTAAGAAGGGTTGCCAAGAAAGTACCTATACGGTTTCCTATCATTTCCCTAACAAACACACCCAAAAAAAAATTATTTACAATTATTTCCTGACAGCCAATTCCCTAACACTTTCGTTTCTTTAATACTTCATTTCTGACAATCATTGTAAAAACAAATATCGAAGAAATTAAAGTGTGGGAATTGGCTGTTAGGAAAGCATTTGTTAGGGAAAATCTTCAAGAAAGCTAGTCACATAGCTACAAAAAGAATTAGTTGTATACATATTAAGGTGGTCCTTGCACTGCAGCTGCAGAGCCTAATTATCTCATAAAGATCCTTGCACTGCAGCCATAGAGTCTAATTGCACCTTATAAGATCTTTGTACTACAGCCGCAGAGTCTAATTGCACTCTATAAAGTCCTTGCACTTCTGCAGCAGTTGTGAAGCCTTATACTATATATGTTTCTTGTATACTTCACCATCGAGATTTCGCCTTTCCACTTGTTTTGCCTAAAAATCTGATTTGTGTATAGTAGTAAGTAAGTACATATATATTAATTCTACTGATTAAATAAATGATTTTATATTTACCAGCTAAGTTAATATAATGATAAATAAGTATTTATAACAAATTGTGAACTTATTTGTCAATTTTAATTCTACTAATTGATAAATAAACTTTATACTTGCCTGCTAAATTAATGCAAATGAAACTGCATGTAATGTAAATAACGGTAAATATTTTTGATCATTAATTGTGAACTTGTTTGCTGATTTTAATTTCTACTAATTAATAAATAATCTTTTTACTCACCATCTAATATAGTGTTCTCAAGCACCTCACTCAATAGATCAGGAGAAAATTTTTAATAGTCAGAAATTGAATATATTAACCAAGTAAGCTACCATTGCGATAAATAGATCAGCAAGCTACAAACCAATTTTTTTCTCTAAAAATTTACAATTGATAAAGGTCGCTTAAGCATTACTTTTAATTTTTTTATATATCAAACATAATAAGCAATGAATTCTCAACAAATTTCTAACCAATATGAAAAATAACCACTTTATTTTTAATTTTCGAAGCTTTTAAAATAAATAATCAATACCTTGATATAAGCATAAAATAAATACATCTTTTAACATTTAATCAAACAATAATGAATTCTGTGATTTTATTTTTCATTCAATAAAATTTAAATATTAAGATTCGCAAGAAAAAAAATTTTTTTTTACTTGTTGTAAAGCAACTTTTGCTGATGATTGATTCTGTTGCTGTTGCACTAAAAGTTTTGAATTGGTAAAATTATTAAAAGAAGAAGTCGACACAGCCGAAGTTAAAGTTTTAGCAACTAATTGAGTAGAAATTTTTTTAAGGTGTTTTAGATGGAATAATACAGATCACGACAAATAGTAAAAGAGTATACTCAAGCATTTAAGTTTATA